AAGTAACATCTGTGTAACACAAAGTAAGATTCAAAGAAAGGGATTTATGCTTGGACGTATGTATACCAGGTAATACTAAATCATCGTAGATAAATAAACAACAACGTAATGTTAAATCAGAGATTAAAAAACCGATATAATTATAGCGTATTTAATATTGCGTACACAAATACTGTAGTACACGAATACATTTTTATGCAAAAATATTTCTATTATTATATATATATATATATATATTTATCAAACCTTATAATATCAAATAAATATAACCTACATTTTCTTTCTGCTTATCGCACTTTCAATTTATCGAAATTATATCGGTTTCGTAATTCTCAGAGCAAAAATAAATAATTTCACTCACCGACCTGCCTCTACGTATTTTCGAACTCCGCCGTTGGCGCCAACCCTCATTGAAATCGCGCAAGGTTAACTTCATCACGTCAAGTACACTCGTCCTAATAACGAAAGAAGGATGACTATGACTATTAATTAATTACTGATTAACAAGTTATAACGATCACTCGATATTTCCGACAATCATTGGCATGCGCAATTTGCTTTTTGCGAACAAAAATAAGAGTAATTCGCGCACAGACTCCGACACTACGATTATAACTCGATTCAACGCGAAACAAACATGGTGCCCGCGCATGCGCACATAGTGGTATGAGAGTGCAAATATCGAAAATATAATTTTACCGTGCTCATTTCAAATATTGTATTATTTTCAATTAAATAATTATAAATTATCTGCAAATTGTATACATGTTAATTATATCATATAGGAATGTGATACACATTAATAAATATATTTTAAATTATAATAAACAATAAAAATATATATATATATTAGACAAGTGTAATAATTATAGAATAAACGTGTAGAGAGTATAAAAAAATAACAGATAATAAATTTTAGTTATGAATTATCACAAATATATATATTTCCAAAAGTTTCCAGATACACATATATTTCACCTGCAATATATTTCTAAAAATATATCTTATTTATTTCACCATATTCCTATTTTCCACTTTTTTGTACTCAAATGCATAAACTAATTATTTTACAAATATAAACAATAGGAATGTGTTTGTACATTCGATTATACCCTTGTAAATTATTATATTATTGTACATAGTTAAAATGTCATTTTTTTGTCATTTGTTTTAACCCTGAATCGTTTCTTGCAGCAATTTCTCGAGTTTTCGCACGTCAACGGCAAATTTGCGAATGCCTTCGCACAACTTGTCGGACGCCATTTGGTCCTCGTTCAGGAGCCATCTAAATTCAGCCTCATCTAAGCTGATCTTTTGAAGATCGCATTTTTTCGCCGATTCCACGTTCAGAACTTTGCGAATTAGCTCATTGCTCTCCTCTAATTCCTCCAATAATTTGGGACTTATAGTAAGAAAATCACAGCCTGCGAGCTCTTTAATTTCACCTAAATTATCGAGACAATTAAATTTAAAAAATATATCTACGACTATAAAAAATAGTTTACATATATCAAAAAATTATATAGATTTTAATACTTGCCAATGTTTCTAAACGAAGCACCCATCACAACTGTCTTGTAGCCAAATTTCTTATAATAATTGTAAATTTTCGTTACAGAAATAACACCTGGATCTTCCTTTGCTTCATATGTCTTTTTATCTGTATTTGCCACATACCTAAACATCGTTCAGTTTTTACTCTTGATTCATATTAATTTATAAACTGATAGAGATTGAAACATTTACCAATCCAGAATTCTACCAACAAATGGTGAAATGAGAGTGACTCCAGCCTCTGCGCAAGCGACAGCTTGTGCAAAGGAGAACAATAATGTCAAATTGCAATGAATCCCATATTTTTCCTCCAATTCTCTAAAAAAAACAATTATCATTACTTATTAGTAGAACATGTTCATTAATCGAACTTAAAATGCATATATATCTTTTAATTTTATTTCTTGCTTACTTTGCCGCTTGGATGCCTTCCCAAGTTGACGCAAGCTTGATCAAAATGCGTTCTTTGCTCACTCCAAGTCCCTCATACAGAGCGATCAATCTTTTCGCCTTCTCAATGCTGGCTTCCTTATTGAATGATAATCTGGCGTCCACTTCTGTAGAAACTCTTCCAGGGATTATATTTAAGATTTCTTTGCCAAACAGAACACATGTGACATCGAGGGCTGCTTCAACTTGCTCAGCCAAAGTACTGCAAGAAAATCTCTATGTTAAAAATAATGTTAAAATATCATAAATTATAAATTAATGTTAACTATTTAAATATAATTTTCGATGACATTATAAAAAAATTATAAGAAATTTAAATAAATTATATATATCAACAAATACACATATACTTACGATCCAGACTTTTTGCCATATTCAGCAGCCTTCTCGATCAAATGAGCATACTTCTTTTGATTAGCAGCAGCAAGAATCAACGACGGATTTGTCGTTGCATCTGTAGGCTTAAATTGCTCCATAGCTGCATCGAATAATAATATAATACCGTTTATGATGTTAATTTATATATTATTATTTATTATATTCACATTATTATTTCTTCTTCTTCTATTTTTTAATTTGTGATTATTATCCATCTTTATATCCACATTTCTTATCATTTATTTATTTAATAGCTTGTTCAAATTTTTCATTCGATTTCTATCAAGGACAAGAACGATGAATATATTCTCAGAGGTCGTTTCTCAGCAAGGCAAAGGTCACGGTATTTTGTATGTGCATTGATACGGGTTTTATCAGTCGCACAGATAAATCTATGCGACATCGTTCGATTTTTCGACCATGAGCCTTCATATAGATCTATATGAAGGCTGAATGACAATTTTGAATTCATGGGAACAGAAGTGAATTAAGCTTACGTATCCAGACGAATACGTTATTGTCAATGTGTAATCAACATAATGTAGCACGCATTATTCATTATAAAGCATAAACTTGTCAGTTGCAAGAAAAAAAAGCTTCTCAGTTTTTAGACAATATCATCGGTGTACGCGCGCATTTATATATTAATACGTTATTTTTCCACAAAATCATGATGTGAAAAGAAAATGTACCATAAAAGTCGTGCGCATCTTGACTAAAAATTAACGATATCGCTAATGTCAAGATAATAAATTATTAAGTTAAAAAAAGCAGGAAATTTCGACAATTATGCTGCGTCGATATTATAAATATATAACATAATAAAATAGATATATATAATATACAAAATATAAATATACAATATATAATATCGATACTTTGTGACAATTATCGATAATATTAAATAAATTAAATATATCGGCGATATGTACGAGTTTTTTTTTAATATTTCGTAGGCAAACATATCGTTTAATTTATTTGCGTAACAAATCTCGTTTAGTCATTAAATTAAATTTGAATTGATCAATTTCTTAAAAAAAATTTTGTGTATATATCTAATTAAAATTTATAATCATTCAATATGCATTATCCGTTCACGCTTTTTAATACCTTTTGTCCACCGTCGATATCGCATTGACGATATCGGGATATGTACGCAAATAAAGAGATTTCGATAAATCTCTCTTATTGAAGTAACTTTGATCGCAAAATAAATTTCATAATTCAAAGAATCACGTGAGACACGTTCGGGAATAATAAATTATTAAGTTAAAAAAAGCAGGAAATTTCGACAATTATGCTGCGTCGATATTATAAATATATAACATAATAAAATAGATATATATAATATACAAAATATAAATATACAATATATAATATCGATACTTTGTGACAATTATCGATAATATTAAATAAATTAAATATATCGGCGATATGTACGAGTTTTTTTTTAATATTTCGTAGGCAAACATATCGTTTAATTTATTTGCGTAACAAATCTCGTTTAGTCATTAAATTAAATTTGAATTGATCAATTTCTTAAAAAAAATTTTGTGTATATATCTAATTAAAATTTATAATCATTCAATATGCATTATCCGTTCACGCTTTTTAATACCTTTTGTCCACCGTCGATATCGCATTGACGATATCGGGATATGTACGCAAATAAAGAGATTTCGATAAATCTCTCTTATTGAAGTAACTTTGATCGCAAAATAAATTTCATAATTCAAAGAATCACGTGAGACACGTTCGGGAAAAAAAAAAAGTGCAAGCGTTGCAACATTTTCTCTCTCCTCCCTCCTCCACCCTCTAGCTCGCATAACTATCGTCGAACCTTCACCTTTGAACGAATTCGAATTTCGACGTGATCTTACCGTGAAAATCGCCGGTATCGGCGACCACTGTGGTGAGGTCCTTCAATTGACTCAACGAACTCATGATCTTTGTTTTCTTCGACTGGGACTCGCTCATAATCGTCGTACGTATTTATGCGGGTACACGGAGATGAAAAGTTTCACGTCTCACTCTCACACGAGCGCCTCGTGTATGCCTCGTAACTTCGGTGTCAGGCCCGCCAACTGTCGGCTGCATAAAATCAAATTTACGAGCCCGCGCGTGATATGGCGCGATATTTTGATGGTCACGATATGACTCGTGAAACGGACATAAAACTAATTGATTACTCAACTGCAATTGGAATAACCGATTTGTTTATATGAGAATAAAAAAGATCTATAATTATTTCATGTTAATATATAACTAGGTTTACAAGTTAAATATGTCAGTTAAAGTTAAAATTTGATTCATCTGTAGAATTTTCAGTGAATAAAAAAAAAGATATGCATGTAATTACATTTTGAATTTAATATAAAATCTCATGGGAGGCTTAATTTTATTTTAAATATACTTAGATATCTTATATGTTCCATAGGAACATTGCTGCATTCCAAAATTCCAAAAATATTCTTGCTTATTTCATAATTATTTGGTTGAATTAAGTTTTGTGTTTGCAAAAGATTCAAAAATCCAAAATAAATTTTTGCTTACGATTGTCTTACTGCGTTCTAAACATTGCAAGCTTTTAATCTCAAAAAAACGATGTGGAACGAAAATTCTCATAAAAACCGTATTTATTAAAATCTATTCTTAAGTACATAGTGTAAATGTAACTTACTGACCTATAATGAATATATTCTAATCGAATGTATTCAAAGCTGTCGCTATATAAAAATAAAATCATAATCATTGTGAATGAATAGTTAATAGTGTCAACATTTTGTATCTACAATAACTCGATGAACTTATTACAATGTATAATCTCACTTTAATTTCTCTATATATTCATCATTTGTGTAAAATTTCTATTTTGACTATCACAAGAGAGATAAATAACAGAATCAAGTATAAAACATGATTGCACTTGTTGATTCTTCCATATATACAATATAACAATTATATCATTGCAGTTTAAGATAGAAGATATTACCAAAGTTGTTATACTACTTTCTCTTAATATAAATAGTGTCCTTCAAATCTTTTTAAATATCTTTTTCGTCAATTTTGTTCAAATCAATCAACATTAATCCTTAAATTGGTTCTATCTTTCATAAATCATTAAAACTCCATATCACCAAGTTAATGTTAGTTAATGAGAATTCTTGTGAAAACTTGTAAAGTCGACCATTTATGTTATACCGAGAATACCCTCGTATTTTCACTATTGTCAGACTTTTTCAGCAGATGTATGTTTATCAGACAGAGTTTTCGGTTGGTGACCGTAAAGGAAAATCGAGCATATTACGAGAAACGCACCTAGAGTGAATTGAAATGATAGATGGAAGTCAAACAGATAAATGGAAGCTATGCAAGAGATGATGATGGCTAAAGATGTGGCAAAGCCTTTCAATATGTTGTCAGCATACTTAACCACCATGGCTACAATCAATCCACCACCTGCTTGCAAGATAACCAGGTAAAAGATAAACAGATCGTAACCAAAGAAGAAACCCCGTTTGCGTATGATGTCACTGTCCTGCAGAAAACACGTGCCCAAGCCGAACGGTATGGACAGCACGCTCAACTGTACATTTCGCATCCATACAGAGATGTCAGAGCCTTTGAGAATTTTCTCGAAGTAGATTCCCGCGAAGCCGGACAGAACGCACGCGCTCAGAGCAGCGGAAAAACCTAGCCAGTGATTTTGTTCAATGCCCGAGGATGAAGTTTTTACGCTTTGAGCCAGTTGTACAAGAACTACTCCAATGACTAAAAACACTAGAGCACCCCACTGCGTGATACGTAGAGATTTACGTAATATCGTCACTGCGAAGAAGGCTGTTGTCAAAATTTTTAATTGATATGTAACCTGTAAAATATATATTATTCATCTTAAATATATTGTATCATTTTTAAATTTTTTCTTTTTAATAGAAATGTTTTAATTTGAACATATGCATTACCTGATACGTAGCTGCATCCAGATTAGATGCAGATACATAAAGTAAATTGTTTTGTATGATATACAAGAGAGATGGCACACAAACTTTCAAGGTGTCAATAGGCTGCTTTATGATTGTCATATGTAATGCTTTATAAAATTTCTCAAAGCTTCCTTCTTCGATGTATACCAATATCAGACAAGTAAATAATTTGACTACTTCTGCCATCACAACAGCTAAAAAAGAGAGATAACGTTATTGCAAATACAATAAAATTTTTTTATCTATACAGAAAAAAAGATATTTTAGGACTGATTCTATTATGGGTATTTATATACCAGTAGAGGATAGAAACATGTCTCCTGCTCTTGTGCGCGAATATCGCATACTGAGGCCAACCATAGCATTTTGAAGTGTGAGAGTAATTAAGCTCATATACTTCAATGTTTGTCCAGTTTCTATAATATAAATATTTGAAATGCTCTCATTTATATCAGAATTATCCATAATTTCTACATATATATTAATGATATACTCACTTTGAGAAGTCTTATTCATGTTGATGATAGATTTGTTTTAACTTCCATGAAATAACTTATAGATATTTTTCCACAAATTACATTTTTTTACTAAAAATACAAGAAATAAATATAAGTTTTTCAAAAGAAATGTTTGAGTATTTTTAAATCACAAGTAATCAATTTTATTCTGCCATAAATAAAAGCAAGAATATCATTTATATCTGTATATAAAATATTATTTCAGCTGTTTATTTTTAACGAACAAAACTAATTGTTAATAATATAAATAAATGTAATAAAACAATAATACATCAGCCACAGATGTGTTTCTAGAAGTACAACAATGCGATAACATAGTATTTCCTAATCCACAAGGATCACATACAGGATGTTATTTTCAAGACATCATACACGTTAGTGTGAAGAAATAATTAAAATAGAAATGATTGAAAGATAATAATTATTTTTCAATTGCACAATGTTTATTTTTACATATTGACAACCGTGTTTGACAACAATCGGCAAAAGACGATTTTTAACAAACAAGTTAAAAAATGAAATAACGCTCACATGTGAAACTCTGGCAAAAAAATACAGACACAAAACTAATTAACATTCATTGAGAGGATGCGCACCATTTGCGAAATTTTTGTACACGTTGAACTGACACGTTGAATATTCGTGCTTCTCAAAAATGCCTAGTTATTTTCCTATCGACATCATTTTTGATTGGCCTCGATTAGCCTTGTCTTCGTTCTTTTCTATTTACCCGTAATTAAATTTAAATGACGAAATATAACGGAATAAATTTTATCGTATTTTTATTATAATAGGTTACATGTCTAATGCATTTCATATTTATGTGTATGTACAATAAATCAGACCGATAACTGAACAAAGATGACAATAATATATCTACTTTGAATGATTATCTAACCTCATTCATTGGGTTTAAAAGAATGAACCAATCGCACGCAATCTATTTCAGAAATGCAATGAGAAATGTCCTAAAAATATATATATATATATATATCACTTTGTGAATATGGCCTATATATTTAATTATATATTGCACATAATAGTATAAAAAATATAAAAAATGTAATTATTTATCTATAATTGCATAAATTATGTGATTGCGAGAGTCTACGTTATCTTCTTTTTAAATACATCAGATGGAGTAGAACTTATTTGTCCACGTCGCCAATTGGCCAATTTAAAATAGAACTCTCTGATAGTACTCCACCAAGTGTAACTAGTAAGATGCAAGAAACTGTCGCATATCTTGGTACGTTCATAGTCAATGATTATGGAATACAGTGAGAATAGAAAACAGGCGGAGAGAGAGACATAATATCTACGCATTTTATACAAATATTTTATGATTCTGGGAAAAAAGATATTGCGACCATGTCTACGGTGATTATATACATTTTAAAAATATATTATGATAATCGTAGATAATATTAAACATCAATCGTTTAATACATGATTCATTTACACAGGTCTTAATTTCCTAATCCCCATAGTTTGTTATTGACATTTAATTAAATTTTAAGATCCTAAGTTGTGAAGATATTTTGTTAAACATTGCAAAAGATAGAAGTAACGTACCTCGCGAAATGCATATGATAATCTAAATAAAAAGTATATTATCAAGAGAAATATATATTTTGCTAAAATGAAATGTATTTTTTTTTTTATAGCGACCTGATGATCACCGGAGAAAATGGAACCGGGAGGAATATGAAAGGATTGCACTTCAAAGACTCCAAGAAGAGATCGCGGAGGAAGAATTGGGGCTTCCTAAACAACCAGCAGTTAAAAGAGAATTGCTAAAACAGAGAGATTACAAAGTTGATCTCGAATCAAAACTAGGAAAAAGTGTTGTCATCAATAAAAATACGCCATCATCACAAACTGGAGGGTATAATTCAATTCTTGAATAACTTATAAAAATCTAATTATGCAATATAATAAATCAAAGTAATTCAAATAAAGAAATAATATGCAAAATTATGCTTTATAGAATATTATTGTCTTTTTATAAAGCAATCCTCAATTATTGATACATTATTAATTATAACCACTATTGTATTTCTGGCTATAGATACTATTGCAATGTCTGCGATTGTGTTGTCAAAGATTCCATCAATTTTTTGGATCACATTAATGGAACAAAACGTAAGTTTGAATATCTATAAAGTAATGATATAGACTTAAAATTTAGAATTTTTGTTTAATTTTATAACTTTTAATTTCTACAGATCAACGTAATCTGGGTATGTCTATGAAAATAGAGCGATCTACATTGGAGCAGGTTAAAGCAAGGTTTACACAAAACAAGAAAAAGCTTGAAGAGAAAAAGAAGGATTATGATTTGGAGCAGAGAGTAAAGGAATTAAAAGAAGAGGTTTGTTTGCTCAAAATTGTGTTTGAGATAGTCATCTCTTTCTATGTAATTATGTAATTTAAATATGTAATAAGATTATTTCTCTATTATTCACAGGAAGAAAAGATCAAAGAATACAGAAAGGAGAAGAGGAAAGACAAGAAGAGGAAGATTGAGGAACTGGCAGAGGATGATGCAGGACCCTCTGATGAAATGGCCGCGATTATGGGATTCTCCGGCTTCGGTTCGAAAAAGAAGTGACTTTTTCCATCTATCCTTGAGAAAGAGAATGTTGATTCTTTAAGAAAGAACGTTGCCGATATGATTTGTGGACAGTTGGAAAAATGGAGAACAGTTTTAATTCCAGTTATTGGAATTTAAGGATGCGATCCACGAATGTGAGTTTGTGACATATTTTTTTCATTTGTCCTAGAATTTCGTGTTTATTCGAGACGAGAAAAATAGCTATCAATTACAAATCCGACCAATGTAACAAATCACATGAGCTTAAACTGTAATTTAAGATTAATTAAAATTAATTAAGATTATTTGGGCACAAATTTGTGTGATGTAAATAATTTAAGTATATTCTCGAAATGACTATATCTCTGCTAAACTCCTTTATTATAAGAACACAGAATCTTACGTATGATTGTCGCCAAAGGAGAATGTATGTGTCATGATTGTAGAAATAAAATTTATGAGAAGTTGAGTGAGAGACAGAAAAAATATTCAGATTACTATGACCCTTCAAGCATCAATGTTTGTGCGATATTTACAACATACTATATATCAATAATTGTTAAATATGCTCTCTATAGTAGAAATAATTTTGGCTAATTTCGACTTTTAGATTCTCTTTCATCAAAAATTGATTATTTGCTTATGAACACAATAATCGAAAAAACTTTAGTTTCTTACAGAAAGTATATTGTAGAATTATCGAGAATATGATATACTGTATTGTATATCGCATAAACATTAGTACTTGAAGATTTGTACTAGTCTGAATATCGCCATTTCAATTTTTTTAAGATGAAATGAGCCAATTTTTATATTTCATTTAAAATTTATGAATTAATCTTCTTCAATTCGTGCACATCCTATTCTCTTTTTTCAATCCTATACCATTAAATCTTAATGCTATAGCATGTTCTTTTCTAGTGGATATTCGTGTTTTAATTCTGAAATGTTTCAATGACATAATTGTTATATTATCATAGAGACAAAAAAGAATACGACTGAGTTTCTATTAATTTAGCCATATAATCGAATTGTTTCTTTCACATATTATGACGTCCTGTTGACGGTATAAATTCTACTCGATACAAAAAGTTAAGATTGTATTAATTATAATTATAATAAAAATTATAATATACGCGTCGTCGCGCGCGCGGAATTACCAGTCCCGCAGGAAACGTAAAGATGATCTACGCGAGTCCAAGTCCTACATAACGAAAGTGGCAAAATTATCTAAGTTTTTTCCCTTCCGTGGATTCCTTCTTTCCCTTTTCTCTCAAGAGATTCTCAAACGATGAAGGAGGGATAAGAACCGATACGCGCGAGATCTTTTCGTCTCCCACCTCGCAGAGGATCAAAAGGAACCTCCTTCTACAGTGCGGGGCCCGCGCTCTGGGGGCCAGACTCCGGAGCCGGAGCAGCGGCCGGAGCAGTGCCGGTACCGACGTACATCTCGACGTAGCTCATGCGACGTGCTCTCTTGCAGCAGCAACAGCCAGCACAGCCGTGAGCCATTCGAAAGTCCGTGGAAGCCGCGCGTGTCGGAGTCGCGTGCGCTTCGATTCAGCGCGCGCCGTGTCTCAGTCGCTCGCACGTGACGTGGATGCGCGAGTCGTCGCACGTGCCACCGGGGTGTCCGTCTACACCCCATACGTCTTCGGCTCCGATAGCCGAAAGTTCTTTTCTGCAAATCGGACACTGCGAACAAGCATTTTCAGAAGAGACCAAACAAATTTAGTGAACAAATTTTATTTTATTTTCCTATTTACTTTTGTTTTGAAAATAGGAAATACGAGTGCTGTTTCCTAAGAGCAAGAATACTTAAATTGAAGGAGAGACGAAAGAACTAGGAAGAACTTATTGGAGTGTTTGACGAGAGGATACCTTTATAGTGATTGTTAATGAGTAATATCGTGTACTTTGAGATATTGAAGATAAACATCTCCTGAGAAGAGCCGAATTAATTTTTGGGAGAAAGAGCAAATTTATTGTTGAAGGATGCTTTCTATCTGGGAAAGAAACTGAACGTCATTGAAGACGCTTTTGTATATCGAGAATTGTGATTCTCTTGAACGAGATAATTCCTGAACAACACTGTCTACTTAGAAATAAGAGACTTGATTTGCAAATAAATTTCAGCAGAAAGTCGAAACAATCATTCTCTTATGTAAAATTCGGAGTAATTATTAAAAAGGAAGACGGAGTCAACTTCTCGAAAATATTATCTATAAAAAGAAGGGAAATATTTCAAATGAATATTTACCTTTTTATCTCTTCGTAAAAAAAATAACTAAAATATACATTTTTATTGATCATATGTGAAAAAATTAATATTCTCGTCATTTCGCTATGCAAATACTTTAATATGAAAAAATTCTATTAATTACAATCGTAACTGTTTCATGAGATAAAACGATAAAACGCTCTTTTTACTACTCAACATTATCCGCGACGACTCCTGTTTATCCTCCAGATTATAATCAATTAACAGTGTCGGCTAATGTACGCTCGCGGAAAATGCGACAGGCAGCCAAGTCGAGTCCATCGGTCTTGACACGGAACTCGTCGGATTGATGGACATCGGCGGCGATTTTACGAGCGTTTCGATCACGATTCGCAGACATCGTAGTGCGGCATCCGTTTCAAGTTGAAGAGCAAAACGTCACTCTCGAGAAACAACGATGTCGCGAACTTTGCAGCCGATCGAGGAATCCAACCCCGGCAAATCATCAGGTAAGATCTCATTCACTTTTTAACGATGATCTTTTAATTAATTCTTTAGAAAGCACCTGCAACAAATTTGCAACATATTCGGAAGGAGTTAATTAGTATATCTTACGTTAGGAAATTTAACATGATTATTAATAAATTAAATTACATCTATTTGTGAAACGTCATCTGTTAATCAAAAAGAGATATGAATTATTAAATTTTATAAATTTATTACAAATATTATATTGCGCGTGTCGGAGTCGCGTGCGCTTCGATTCAGCGCGCGCCGTGTCTCAGTCGCTCGCACGTGACGTGGATGCGCGAGTCGTCGCACGTGCCACCGGGGTGTCCGTCTACACCCCATACGTCTTCGGCTCCGATAGCCGAAAGTTCTTTTCTGCAAATCGGACACTGCGAACAAGCATTTTCAGAAGAGACCAAACAAATTTAGTGAACAAATTTTATTTTATTTTCCTATTTACTTTTGTTTTGAAAATAGGAAATACGAGTGCTGTTTCCTAAGAGCAAGAATACTTAAATTGAAGGAGAGACGAAAGAACTAGGAAGAACTTATTGGAGTGTTTGACGAGAGGATACCTTTATAGTGATTGTTAATGAGTAATATCGTGTACTTTGAGATATTGAAGATAAACATCTCCTGAGAAGAGCCGAATTAATTTTTGGGAGAAAGAGCAAATTTATTGTTGAAGGATGCTTTCTATCTGGGAAAGAAACTGAACGTCATTGAAGACGCTTTTGTATATCGAGAATTGTGATTCTCTTGAACGAGATAATTCCTGAACAACACTGTCTACTTAGAAATAAGAGACTTGATTTGCAAATAAATTTCAGCAGAAAGTCGAAACAATCATTCTCTTATGTAAAATTCGGAGTAATTATTAAAAAGGAAGACGGAGTCAACTTCTCGAAAATATTATCTATAAAAAGAAGGGAAATATTTCAAATGAATATTTACCTTTTTATCTCTTCGTAAAAAAAATAACTAAAATATACATTTTTATTGATCATATGTGAAAAAATTAATATTCTCGTCATTTCGCTATGCAAATACTTTAATATGAAAAAATTCTATTAATTACAATCGTAACTGTTTCATGAGATAAAACGATAAAACGCTCTTTTTACTACTCAACATTATCCGCGACGACTCCTGTTTATCCTCCAGATTATAATCAATTAACAGTGTCGGCTAATGTACGCTCGCGGAAAATGCGACAGGCAGCCAAGTCGAGTCCATCGGTCTTGACACGGAACTCGTCGGATTGATGGACATCGGCGGCGATTTTACGAGCGTTTCGATCACGATTCGCAGACATCGTAGTGCGGCATCCGTTTCAAGTTGAAGAGCAAAACGTCACTCTCGAGAAACAACGATGTCGCGAACTTTGCAGCCGATCGAGGAATCCAACCCCGGCAAATCATCAGGTAAGATCTCATTCACTTTTTAACGATGATCTTTTAATTAATTCTTTAGAAAGCACCTGCAACAAATTTGCAACATATTCGGAAGGAGTTAATTAGTATATCTTACGTTAGGAAATTTAACATGATTATTAATAAATTAAATTACATCTATTTGTGAAACGTCATCTGTTAATCAAAAAGAGATATGAATTATTAAATTTTATAAATTTATTACAAATATTATATTAATTCTTTTCCAAGATATAAAAATTAGATTTATTTATTAATATCTTATCTATTCATCTTCATTATAATATTTATTAATAAAATAGATATTATAATGAAGATAAAATTTTGATTCCGAAAATATAGATTGATAGAAAATATAGTCTGTATATTTAACAAAATTCAAGGTTTTTTTCCTGTCTTGCGGAATATGGGTCTTAGCATTTAGAACATCTGATATATCCCTTCCACTTTTCAAATATATTGCACTAAAATCTTATGATATATTTTATTGTTCTAAAACACAACGGCCGCTTTCCCTTTTCTTTTCCACGGAAGTGAAAAGGATCGGACACGCACCGTGTTGTTGTCCGTTATACGGAGTCTGCCCACAGCTCTTGTTTCTAACTCTTGTTTTCGAAACAGTCCGTGATCGCTCGTGCATGATCGAATGGATCGCTTAAGTGGATCCGAAATGAAACAAATCTGTCGGCAGAAATTTCAGCTTCACGACATTCACTATCGATCGACGAAGATTCGCGTGAATTGTCGTGAGGAAAAGTGCAAATCGAAATTTGCACATAATTTGATACGGATGAATCACAATCGAGCCACAAATCTGCCTTTTGATTAAGCCTGATTTCTATCGATGTTATTTCGCACAAATTAGTGTGGAAATTTTAATAACTAATTATTTAAAGAGAGAGAGAGAGAGAAAGAAAAAACTGGATCTCTCATTTGTTAATTTTAAAGAGGATATCTTTTATAAATCATCAGAAGCTATTAAATAAAATTAAATTACACGAGATTGACACATAGAGTAGTAAAAATGTCATAATTATATGTCGTAATTTATTAATATTATAAGAGATGCATGGATCATATTATTATTATTTATCACTTTGCTTATTAGAAATTACTAGGATATGTTTACCGTAAATTAGTTTAATCTATAAATTGTTAGGAATGCGGCCGCAATTTCACATTTTTTACATCGACCATATGTTCTGTCATTTAGGCTTCAATAGGAGTACCAAATATCTCTAGATGACATTGCTTTTTTTCGTCGTTTTTATATATGTAAATAATTAACGGTCGCGTAGCGTGGCAAATGTGGGCACAATAAT